ATCAGGAATGCCTGCTTTAGGGAGGGACAAACATGTTTAGTCCCAGTTTGCACATATCTAAGTTAAAAAAAAAAAAAAAAAGAAAAAAGAAAAAAAATAGAAAAAACACAATATGGACTCTCTGAGGTAACACAACACCAAACACGGGCTGGCAGCTACCAGATAACTTCAGAACAGATATGAGAGATGAACGCCCATCTGTGAGACTGATTAACCAAGGCAAAATCTAAAAATAATTGTTCTTACTTCATCAAGCATCAGGAATGCCTGCTTTAGGGAGGGACAAACRTCTTGGATGTATCTGCGTAACTTCTGAAGAACAGTGTCACCAGATAAAGTTTCATCATCTCCTCTAACYGGATTTACTCTGTAACAGGAAAAAGACAGACTTCACTACTTCTACCTCTCGCCTTTTTCTGCTCAAAGTTTTCTTTTTAGAGCAGGAAGGATAAATCACCTCATTAAGACTCGAGGTTTGATAGGATAAAAAGAGTGTGCACTTAGAGAAAGCAATGCCAAAAGATTATTTAACTGAATTTAATCAATTCATTCAGTGAATACATTGCTCTTGTTTTCAATGAATATGTATACCACAAGTTACTCAGACTAGCACAAAAAAGAAACTGCCTACTTACTTATACTTTTTTCTCGGGGGAATTTTCTGCCTGTTTTCAAAGGTGTTCCCAGGATCATGGAATTTTTCTAAAAACTGTCGCCAAGCAATTTTACCTGTGGCTTTCAATCCAAATCTGATTTAAATAAATAAATAAATAAATAAAAGATGTAAAACAATTTTAAAGGTTTTCTTTTAAAACACTATATTTTCAGAGAAGTACTGAAAATTAGAACATTACAACTTCACTATAGCGTCAATGTGTGCAACATTCATAATTAGAGTAATCTTCCATAGTTGTGTTTTTGTTACTAAATATGTAAACTGAGCCAACTTATTTTCTCAGTTCCACATGTCTAGCTATGGAAGAACTAGACTCTAAGTGAGAATTCATCTARCCAAATGTATGCATCTGCACCTGAGTGAATCACTTTAATTTCCCTTTATAGTCATTGGGGAGAAACAGGAACTTTCAGGGCAGGAATCATCTCACCTAAAGCAGACATCTAAAACTGCTTAGATGTATCCTGCCCATTGTTTCTCTCCAGTGATTATAAAATAGAGTCTAGAAGGAGCAATTCAGATGTAGATGTTCACGTTACAGATGTCTACAGTGAGATTGTATGTAATGCATCCTTTCTCATTATTTACACGTAACAGAAGAGAAACTAATTGAGGCAAATAGTGTGGGGCTTTTTTTATCTTATAATTCTGGTTCTATCTATTCTACTGAATTCTGAAAGCCCTGGAAATATTAAATGGTGTTAAAAAAAAAAAAAAAAAAAAAAAAAAAAAAAAAAAAAAAAAAAAAAAAAAAAAAAAAAAAAAAAAAAAAAAAAAAAAGGAGGAGGGTAACTGGGGAAGTTAGTATCACATGGCATGAGTAATTAAAAGCAATAGAGACCAGATCCAGTGACCCCGTTCACCCCAAGTCATTGGCTTATCGCCTATTCAGTTTCAATGGTACAACAATGTGGCCCGAGTGAGTGTGGCCAAACATGCCCTGCTTCAGATGGTGATCTCCCATATTGTTAGGAACAGGCCAACTTGCTACTCTAGTCATCCCTGAAAAGCWTTTCTGATTCCTAATGCTCCCTAAAATGGTGGCAGATGGTGTTTACAGCGTCTGCTAATCCCAGATACATAGGACAAATCTAAAAAATTAGCATATGCAGTCAGAGGTATATAAGAGTTCTTGGATTTATTACCAAAAAACCCTCCAATCTTTGGACCTCACAGCAGTTTCTCAAGCTCAGCCAATAAAGCAAACCCCCGAAGTCACAAGAATCACAGCGTTCCCCCCGGGCCTACCAACACCTGAGAGCACCGAGCACTTTCTGCTGCGATATGGAGCCTGACTTCTTCCAACACTCCTGCCTAGGAGCAGCGCTCAAGGACCACAGTGGAGCAGCTCATGGGCAGAGCATCTTAGACTGCACAAACAGTGTGGAGCACCAGAATGGGCTGGGAAGAGCCAAGCACCACAGGATCAAGGGAAAAGAAAGTAGAGAGAGTGCTGGTGTTTACATCTCTCCAGGGCAGCCATTCCCCTCCCTGCAGGAAGGGCTCTGCCAACAATACTACTGAGAGATAGCTTATTAAAAAAAAAAAAATGTGGGAAGGAGAAATATTTTTTATCTGATTATTGTCTTGGATGAGTGAGTATGAAACAAACAGTAGGAAACAACAGATGATCTTTAAAATTAAGGCCCAGATAACAACTGTTATTTCGAGCCCCCAGCTGAGATTCCTTCCCACTCCAATGCCTATGGTCTACTAAATCATTGAATCCTGCTGCAGAGTGCAACTCTGCACTGAAAATGAGCAAGCAGACAAAGCTGCATCARTCCTTTGGTGTCCACCTCCTTCCTCAGAAGCCTCCTCGGCCTCCACACAGGTTTTGGCAAACACCACTGCCAAAATGCTGAAGTGAACTTGGGAAGAAATGCAGATGCTGGTGTGTGAAGGCTGGTCATTACACTTTGCGGTGACATTGGCCAGGAAAAATTACATTCTGTGGGTGCTAATTTAGAATTTTGTGTACTATAATATGCCAGGTAACTCATTAAAGTAAATAAAAAAAAATTTTTTTTTTTTGAAGGATACATCTAGTCATGTAGAAAGGAGTACACTTCCAAAAAAGTTGACTGATACCACAGTACATACAGAAAAAAAAAAATTACCGAATCACAAAATCACAGAATGTTCAAGGTTGGAAGGGACCTCTAGAGATCATCCAGTCCAATCCCCCTTGCTCAAGCAGGCACACCTAGAGCACGGGGCACAGGGCAGGTTTGGAAGATCTCCAGAGAAGGAGACTACACAACCTCTCTGGGCAGCCTGTTCAATTAACCAGCAATGCCTTAGTGTTGCATAAATCAAACATGATGGCAACAAACACAACGGCAACAAAAAAGGTTTAAAACTGCCTCTGCTGCTGACAACCATCCTCAGTTTTCACTCTGAACTACTTTCACCAAAGTCCCAACCGAGAGAGCACTATGATGTTATACTCCAAATGGAGGCCACCAAACAGAAGTCTGAGAAGTCACCAGAAAAGGAGACCACATAAGAAGAGGCCACCCTTAGGGACAGACTTCATAGCGGTCATGTGTGACCTGCTCCCTCAACTTACCCTCACATGCCCAAACCTGTGAAAGGACACAACGCTCAGCAGTGCTCCAAACCCAAACAGAATATCTCCAGTATGGGAATGCTGTAGTGTGGTGTAATTCATTCCTTCAGTTTATACAACTCCTTGATGAGAGTCCACAATGAGAGAATTTTCACGAATGGAAATGCTGGAATTCAGGGAATTTGGAACTCAGATGAGTGATGTCCTTTGAATGAAGTACACAGCCGTGGTCTGCTCTGATGCACTTGATCTTGCTGCAGCAGGSACATAGACTGAGAGATAAATGCTGGGGTAATCTGGTCCTAAACCAGTCAGGGATAAAATCCTAACTGATGTCTAGGGCAAAACTGCATCAACTTCAGTAAACCCCGAATTTCATAACAGAAGCCCATGAGATGTAAATATGTCAAACAAGCATAAAATGCTGTCATGTATTATTTCTTAAAAATAGCGCTCTGCCACATCACATGCCATATTATTTAAATATAAAATTTAAAATCTTGAAATCACATCCCTTGCCCGTCAATTATTATTATATTTATTATCAGCTACAATGATGCCACATCATTATTAGAACGAGAGAACTATAAGAAACTTTTGTTGTTGTTCTATTCAGCTGGTGGATCTTTTGAYTTACATCAGCTGAGAAATATCACCTAAGAAATATAGGCTTGCACATTTCGGTTTACAGCATTATTAAAATGCCACCATATTTTTCAAAAGTTAGAGAAAGCTCCAGTAGAAAAACACACAGAAACCTTTTCACTATGCAACTGCTCTTAAGAGCAAGATTTACTTTAAGATTTAAACTATCAAGCAACGTGAATTGAAGGAAAAAAAACTATAATAGCAATTTTTTGACAAAGTAATAGTTGATCATTGTTATATCACACTGTGAATGACTAGAGGCAAATCAGATTTATCCACTGAATGCACAAAGCAATATGGTTACTGCAGATGATACTCTCATATAGCACCTGCTGCTGTAAAATATCTATCTGCAGAGAGGTCTTTAAAGCTAACTAGTGCATATAAAAAAATCAACTGATTATTTTCATGGATGATTCTACTGATTCTATTTCAAACAATTTAAATATGCACACACTAAGTTGTGGAATCCTTAAATAGAAATACATGATAGGTTTATTGCCTCCCTCCCGTTGTAGGATTTGGGTGCCTGGCCTATTGTTGTGAGTTCAAGCAGTATTCTAGAGTAAAAATGCTTTCTAAGCTTTAGAAAGCTTTAGAAAGCTTTTTCTTCCTCTCTCTTTGACTGGCCATATGCCCTTAGCACAGTTGCCAACAAGTATAAAGTATATTCTGGCAGTTTTCTTCTCAMAGCTTTTGGTTTCTGAGGATAAAAGATTAGGCTTGAAAAAGCCCAGTCTAGGTTTAACCAAAAGCCACAAAAGCATCCACTCCTATGATATTTTTGCTTTAGAAAGGAAATATGAGTTTACAAAGTTAGTCTGCTTAAGTTCAAATCATGTCCAGGAAACAAGACATCCTGGAAAATGTCCTGTAACCTTAACAGAGGTCTGCTCAGATCCTTGGAGCCAGGCCTGAAAATACTTTCTATTAATTTGTCTTTTATATCCTGTATCACCCAAAAGCTGACCTGAGTTTTGGTCATAATACTTCAATCAGATGCCTGATTAAGGTAAACTAGTATATTGATTTGAGGCTTAGAGTTCACATGACAATATCTACCCTCACAGTTTGTTTTTATACAAACATTTACAATGTCAACACCCTAATTCTTTGTCTACTACAGTTTAAATTCAAATTTCCAGGGATGAAATTAGTTAATTGTGCAGCTCACAAGTATACTCAATTGTGTTTTTCAGTGAATAACTGTTACCCAGGCAGAGCAAAAGCTCCYAGCTTATATTTGTTCATTGGGTTAGGGTGAGGGTKAGGGTTAGGGTTAAGGTCTGGGTTAAGAGTTAGAGTTAGGATTAGGGTTAGATGGGGTTAGGGTTAAGGTTAGGGCTAGGGTCTGGGTTCAGGTTGGGGATTAGGGTTAGGTTTTATGGTTAGGATTAGATAAGGTTAGTGCTGGGGTTAGAGTTAGATAGGGTTAAGGGTAAGATTAGGGTTAATGGTTAGGGTTAGGGCTTGTTCATTGAGTTTAGTCCTACTTGTTTCTTGCCACAGAAGCATCTTTAAAAGAGCCATCCTTATAGAGTTACCCTGTCACTGAGCAAAGAGAGCGCCAAGAGTGAAGCTGTTCTAGCTAATTCCCACCATGCTGTATCATTGTTCACTTGTTTGGAAGAGGATTAATTCTCCCTTTAAGAGACTAAGTATGAATTTCTGAACCAAAAGAACTAAGAAAACAGCAACTTGAAGTTGTTATTCCATTAAAACTATAAAACTTACTGCTCAAAATGTGTCTTTTTTACACATTTCTATCAGCTTTTACATACTGTGCTTTACACACGGCAACATAGACACAAGTGAGATACATTAATGATGGCAGTCACAAAATCAATAATGAAGTTATGAGACAGCAAAGCTAAAAAATGTCCCCTAAGAAAATAATATGATTCTTACCTATTCATTAGCTCTTGAAAAGTTTCACTTGGTAAAGGAAATATAAAGTCATTTATGACTGACTTCAAGCAATCTAAAGATACAAATCCACTCTGACTGACATCAATTGCTCTGAAGGCTTTTTCAATGTCCTGATAGGCTGAACACAGCTGTAATGAATACAATTTATAGTGTTTTGCTCAGAAAAATCAAGCTCATGAAGCTTTTAAAATAATAATGCATTTTTTACGAGGCCTTTTCAAATGTTCTTCTCTGTGAACTGATCAAACAGGTTACTGTGGCATGCTCTGACCGTCAGATGTTTAATTAATAAGCTCACTACAAAACAGTATTCCCAATCACAGACTCTCTAATGACAAGTCAGACAAGTTTCTCAGATAATAACTCTACCTCAAAATTCAGAGCTAAAAATACTTGGTGGATCGGCCCGCTTGATAACATCTTTCTTAATATAACTTTAAAACCACCCATTGCATAACTTCATGTCAAAGTTCTCCTTATTAAAATGGGTCGTTGGCACAAGGAATGCTGGAAATGTTAGGAGAAATGGAATAGTTAATGTAGCTGCTGTTTAAACATATTACACATTTCTTCAGTTGTTTTTTTAATTCACGGGCTGTTGCAAAGCAGCTATGTGGAAGTGCCTTTGCTTACGGGACTTGGAAAATGCCTGAAAGTTGACTTACTGCAGATTTTGATAAGGCTCATGAAACAATAGGAAGACTGGTTTGTTTTTCTGAAATGTTAGTTCACACTGGGTTGTTGAATACAGCAAGCATCCCTGAGGCTTTTCTTACCTTCCCCTCCCATTTTTTGACAAGTACCCCATCTGCTTCTGAGCTGATTACTGTTTATTCAAAACTGCAGAAACCACTGAGTGAAGATAATGTATAGAGAGATTTTAGAAAGCCCAAAATAAACATCAAGGACTTTAAGGGCGAGCTGTGCTCTGCTTCCATTTCGGGTTTTAGCTTCCCTATCAAAGATCTAAAAAAGGAAAAAAGGGTCAAGATGTCAATGCCCCTGAAACCTTGTGCGTTCYTCCTTTCCTGTCTTTTCAGGGCTAGGAAAGAAGAGTTACTGGTCTGTGTATCTGTGTACTAAAATATGCAGTTCAGGAGCCTCAGCTTCTGCCTACTTAGAGAGAGAAGAATCTCATGACATTAAATAAATGTATGAATTACTGTTGGAAAATTTTGTTTTCCTTCAACTTCCCACAGAGCAGGTAGAACATAGGTAGGGCAGCAACCATTGGGTTCTCCCATCATAGTCCTCAACTGTCCTTGGTAAGATCACATCTAAGGGTACATGGACAGTCATTTGCCATGCCTCTTCCAGTTTCAATCTCTTCTCTAAGCTTGCCACCACATATATAAAAAAAATGTTTCTGTATCAGAATTCACTCGCTAAGAATATGTTTCATGCAGGTGGGAAAATTACTGTCAGACAATGATAACTATTCATTATATGGAGTTAGTCATTAATTACTTTGCTCTGACAGGGAAATCTAATAATTCCCACTACGAAACACCTTAGCCATCAAGCTTCAGGTTGCTACCATTTTCTATTAGCCTTAGGAATATGGAGTTTTAATGTCCTGGATCTAATAAAACAAGACTGGAAAGTGCAAAAACGCCACTGCCATTTCTGCTATCTGGCTTTAAAAGTAAACAAGACTTAGCATGAAATTTCTCCGTGAGAGAAGCTAGTCTCCAAACCCGGGAATTTCCTCTTTCCGTGATGCCTGGCTCAGCCTCTCCATCTGGGGAAGCATTTCAGGACATCAAGTGCACTCTCTTACCTTGTCTCTAAACGCTCTCGCAGTGCCGTCCAGGCTGCGCTCTGCCACAGCTCGCTCTGCTGACGACGGCTGTAGAAGCTTTTGCTGTTTCTGYTCTTTTTCTTTTATCTTCTGGCAGATTAGTGCTGTTGTTAAGTAAAATTGGTTTTAAAAGGGTCTACATGGGACAGTCAGCTTCAAAAATAAAATTAAAATATCTAATAACTTACAGGCTTAAAATAACTTACAATAACTTACAGAGTGTGGATAATAAACATATCTACTAACCTCGGAAAGGCTCTTTTCCATTTCCTTCATATACACCTACTTTACTGTCCTTTCTTAGCTCCCACCATCCTTGGAAGAGCTTCTAGTTACTATGAGTAAAATATCCCTCCTCAGTGATTGCCTAGCCACAAGAAGAAGATATTCTGTGGAATAGCTCTTTCAGTGGAAATGAGAAGCTCATTCCATGATGCTGGTTTGTTGCATGGGCTCTATTCCATGTGCTGTTGGCAGGTACCGTCCTTAAGGTAAGGACACTGCTGTGGAGGTGGTCTATTTAATTTGCAGCATAGCAGCAACCAGGACACTGGGCAAGATCCAAGGAGTCTGAGAACCTTCTGCACAAAGGAATGGCACAAGAAACAAAATTCCGTTCACTATGGGCAAGGATACCAGATGACTACTCTGCCCTTAAGGCATGCTGCAGAAGAAGCCACATCTTCCTAGATAACACTTTCCTATTTAACTAGAGCTATGTTTTTAATTATTTTAATTATTTAATTATTTAATTATTTTAACTTACACATTTTCTTGTGCGTGTGAATCTCAATTCCATCTAAAACTGCCTTATTCAGTTTAGTAATGTGTTTATTAAACAAGCATCACACAGCTTTGTACCTCAGAAATGTGTCACAGAGGCTTTGGCTGCATGATTTTTAAACCACTGATTTAGCTGTATGGTTTGGAAATCTTTTTTTAAACAGGTGCTGCTTTAAAAGGGTGCTGCTTAGAAGTCTTTTGATAAATGTTCCACATGGACAAAGCTCCATGTCTCAAAGTGCATGGAAAGCAGATGACAGGAGGTGAAATGAAACTGAATTCAAGAAACTGTGAGGTGCAGAGTAAGACAGGGCTGCAGCATCCCCTCGCAATGGCAGATGACCCAGAGGCCACTGTGAGGTGCCAGTTGCTGTGTAAAGTCCTGAACATCAGAGGAATTTCTGGCAGGAGGAGCGGGGAGGTTTTGTCCCAGGCCATGCTAATTAGCTGCRTTAATTCTGGGTTTTAATCAAGCACAGTTCTAGGAACTGCAAAGGAGGAGAAGGAGCCAAATGTAATAAGATTATTCCTCAAGAATGTCAGTAGCCCACAAGGAAATAAACTCTATTTTGGGTAATTATATTGGCTTTCACTGATTGTGCCTGCATGATCTTGGATGGTACTTCATAAGCTCACGAACCTCTATAGAGTCACACAGCAGTCATTTAAAATGGTGAGAAGGTGAAGTACCTTAAAAAAAACTTCATGATTTTAAAACAGATTGGCTTTCCCTAATCCAACTGAAGCCAGTGTGAACTGGCAGCACTCTGGAGTTTTGAACCTCAGGCCATCCGCTTTAAAGCGGTTTCAAGCACAACTCCTGCCATCCAAGGAAAGGTTTTTTCACCAGGAAATGGATAATCAAAATTCAGACTTCTGGACTGCTGGTTTCTCTTTTATAGACCAGTATGGATTAGTTGATTCTGTTGTAATTCCCTTCACGAAGTGTTAAAGTTTGAGTAATAGAAATAGAAATAGACAGATTTTGAAGCTAATAGGCTCAAATTATAGCTTACGCTCTTTAGTCTTCAAAGTGCAGGTAATTCTTTATGGGCTTAAATGCAGTTAAACTCATACCTCTGTGAGTCTGCACATTCACATGTTGTGTCAAGCCGGCAGATTTTTTCTGTATAACATTTCAAACGTAACCTTTTGCATCTGTGYACAGGGCTAAATCTCTTCATTAACTCCACTTTTTCGGCAACTGAACTACTGAAGTACACTTGATATCACTGGAAAGACGAAAATACCTCAAATTTCCTGAAATTTTCAATTGTTTTCTGAACACATACCTGGAACTTGGTTTTCTGTACTCTTTTCCTTAACTGTATCTGCATTCAAGCCAAAATTCTTCAGAAAAAAATTATAATCAATAACATTGGAATCTCTAACACAATAACGGTTCCACAGTCTGGAAAACAAGACATTTTTACAGAAAATTACTATCCCAGATCCTGTTGGTARTGAAGTGCAGCAAAAAGTTAGAAAAGTTATATTCAAAAGAATGTAAAGAACAAACTAGCAATAAATGATTTTTTTTTCTACATTCCCATTACATTCTTTTCTGGCTTCCTTCCTCTGTCCAAGATTATGTCTATAGGATGTGAGCTGTCTGCATAATATCATTCAAATCCTAAATACAGTGCCATTTGGTTGGCCATCTACATGAACATGAATTTTAATGGATCTGCACAGAGAAGTTTTTCTTTTTTATAAGAATATTATGACATTCTTAAACAAATTCCATGGGAACTTATGATAAACCATACCTAAACACTATAACAAGTTGCCTGGGTTTTACAACAGCCTGGAAATTTTGCAGCAGCTTCATTTGGATTAAATGTGAAGTTTGCAATTAGAACTCATTTCCACATGGTATTAATTTTCACAGCTTGGAAATTAATCTCTGGTTGCAAGTGCTTATTTTCTAGATATTTCCTCTAATCTGCAGTGAAGTTGATAATATTGCTGACAATTGCCATCCTCAGATTTTAGTCAATTGCTTGTAAAAATAGGCAATTGTCACCTACCGGAATAACAGTTTGTTACAGAATTCAGGTCCGGTTTATCACAAACTACCCAGGGCTATATCTGCAATCCCCTCCAGACAGCACTGCTGTGACTCATGTTTATAATTTATCTTCTAATCATGAAACCTAGAAAGATGTGATTTTCAAAATGAAAGTTAAAATGCTGTTGTAGAAAATGGGTCCGTTAGTCTACAGCTAAAATGGCAGTGTTAGAACATCTTGTTTAAAAMAGGCAAATAATTTTCCCCCAACTTCCTCTCTCTGGATTTACTCCCACAGTTTGTGTCTCTGTAAAATAAAACTTGTGTTTGAACAAAGCATGCCTGACAAAAATGCATCTAGCTACTCTTGAGTAATTTGTTCATCAAGCTAAATAACAGCTAAACTGGCACTTTATTTGTTCATTCAACTTGTCTAGCTAGTGAAGATACTACACGAGATGATGTATTCACCTCTTAAACTCCTTTTTCAAAGACTAAAGAGAACAACTGCTACCACTAAATCTAAAGTCTTCACAGTCTCCCTAGAATCATGACTATCCCTAAAATGTGGCGTTTTTCCACACAATTTTCCAACATTCTGAGCACGACAGCACCTGTTGTGAGGCTGTGTTCTGCTTTTAACTTTGCCAATACAGGAAAATACAAGTACCTCCTACCTCTGCTCAGTAGTTTTTCCATACGAGGACATTAACCCTTTCAGAGTCTCATAGTGGTAGACTATGAGTGGAAGTTTAAACTTCTTACCACATCAGTAAATCATCCAACAGTCTAAATTTTTGACCAAAAATTAATTTTAAAAAAGTGATTATTACTTAGTAAGACTAATATTTGGCATAGTATTTATTGTTCTATTTCCGAAGTCCATAACAACATTATCGAACACTTCACTGGCCACCATTATAGCTGGCATGTGTTCTAAAATCTCTACGTCTGCAGTAGGCTTTTTAATATTCTTTTGAATATTTTTATCATATATTTTGACTATGAAAATAAAATACTCAAGTTATATTCAAAATGAGCTTATGTTGGTAGGACCTGGCATTGCAGAAGCAGAGGAGATGTTCACACAGGGTAACGCCAGCCTCCACGGCTGCCTCTCTAGTCAACCACCAGCAGCTCTTGAGATTAGTGGAGGTAATTCAGGTCACATAAATCCAAGTTCTGTCCGAGTAGTGCAAGGAAGTGGGATTGCCCCGTTGAAGTGATTAGYGCCTTGAAATATCTTCCCTTTCTAATGAATATTGTACCTTGGAGAAAGGATATCTCATCTACTGCATCTTTTTCAGCCTGGTCTATTTGTGGACAGCARGTCATTTCAGTGTGACCACAAAGCCTGCAAATCCTTGCGTGTCACTTATTTCTCTTTGCTGATGCCAACTGGAGCATTCTCATGCCTAATGTAAGTACATAGGTAAGTATATGCATGATCAGAACCTTGATYACATCTGATTTTCTGTATTTTCTTTTCAAAAGATTTCAGTACATTCTTGGCATCTCATTGTGATATCAAGAATTAAACAACATTTAAGYCCTTTAGAACCCATTTATAATCCACTACTCACATTATCAAGGAATGCCAAATTCTGCTTGCCATTTATGGGACCATTTAGGGCATAAAGAGAAGAGAATCTGGTTAATCATCAGGCAAATTCCATTTGGGACAAGTAAGCACTGTTGTGCTGTAACATCCCGTTCTCCTCTCTGCTCTTCGAGTTGTGTGACAGGCTGGGAAGTAATGAGTAGCTGTCAAGATCATTGTAATTCAATCGCTTTTGTGAGGTACCAAAAAACAGCAATTCCTGATCACAGTATTCATCACAGAAGTCACTGACATGCCTCTTGCCTCAGTTTCCCACCTATAAACTGTAATGAAAATGCTGCTCTACCCACGAGGCTTTGTTGGTTATCACAGTAAACCACATCCCTTTGTTTTGATACTTGTAAGCTGTCGATATGTATAATTCATGGAGGAGTTCACTTCTCCTCAGCAATTCCTCCACGTCCTATTTCACCCTCAAGTCTTTCTTTATGTCTTATCAACGGGTGGGGATTATCTGTGAATTTATTTTCAAGGAAATTTTAAAGGGATGAAGATTATTTTAGCTGTGAGTTGTACATATGGAAATAGAGAATGAATACATAGACAGTACTTTGACATCTGTGAAGTGTGATAGAAACACACATAATAAAATGCATAGAGTCACTTCCAGTTTGAAGAAACTTTTTATGCATACATTCAAAATAAAAGGAATACTTTAAAAACATTTGTGTGATTGGATTATTTGAACACTGACAGTTCTATTTTACAAAAATGCCATGAGAAAGATCAGGTTAATAGTACACCTCAGCACCAGAAATGACACTTTGGCACATTTTAGGAGTATCTAAAATTCTTCCCTGTCTACAGCTCCATTTTTGATCTACTAAAATACCCAACACACAACCAAAAAAACAGATACACACAAATTACTGTGGCCTTAATACAGGAAAGAAACGTTCTTCCATCATTATCCTACATTAGTGACAGTTTTCAGCAACTGATGGGAGTACTCCATTTTCTAGCACATGAAAAGCTGCTTCCCTTAGAAACTTTCTATTACTACTCCCAGGCAATTTCTGCTGTTCTGAACAAAATGGCTTATTATGGATCTGCATGTATCAGGGCTGGAAAGTCAATCCCATTTGATAAAGAAATAGAAATACAGAACTAATTGCAAAAATTGTTGGAAATTGCATTTTGCCAGCACTTCTTTATAGTCCAGCTTCTTACACAGGACACAAAATCCCCATGAATACGCAATAACCATGTTTTGCACATCCTTAAAGAAGGATACAATTATGGATAGGATACGATTGGGATGTGCATATAATACATGGAGATTGAATTGTTCTTTGCAGCAGCCACCAAAATTTGGCCTTTTTATCATGATAAAAAGGTGTTTTGCTGTTGCCCTCACCTGGGCATATAATGAGAACACAAACTGCGTAGCATCATTCTTGAGTAACCTATGTTAATATGACTTAAAATACAAATTAGTGATCCTAACCATCACAATGACTAATTTGCTTTTCTAAATGTGTTGAACAGTGACGTTATTCCCCAAAACTAGCTTTAAACATTGACAGCAATCTCTTTTATCCTTCTATATAAAAGGAAGGAGGGAAGTAAGCAGTACCAGGGGCTGAATCAGACATCCCAAACTATTGTCCTCATCTGCATTGCTCTTTGGAGATGCTGATCTTTTTCCAGTTATTAGAGAGGGTGCCTAGCCTTTGGATTACCCTGCCCTTCGTGCCGTCGAACAACTTCCCTATGTTTTCCCATGACTTTTCTCTTTATTTCTCTGTTTATATAATGTAAATTAATTCATTAGTTGTCATATGGAAAAAAAAATCTCTTAACTCTTTATATTCAATTCCTGCTCATGACTGACCACTGTTTCCTCTGTACCCACACGATGGAACCACTGAATTGATCCCAGTTGAAATCAAGGAAAATACATTCATCACGGGACACTGGATCTAATCCATCCTGAGGTCCTGTTCTTGAATGCACATATTCTTTCTGAGCACATGGCCCAAGACGCATTTAATTTTAATGCTAATTTTGGCTCTGATAGGCTGAAGCATCCATTCCTATTCAGACAAAATATCCTTGAATCAGTGACATGAGTGCAGCTGGATAACCTAGACACATAATGGGAGATCTTTGCCCAGGTTCTCATTAAAAGCTAGAAGGCACATATCTCATTGCTGGAAAGATTATTACACAAAGGTCCATAAGGAAAGTAATATTGTTCTATACATTTTAAAGGTTTAGTTTGCTTTTAATTTTAGTTTATATTCTCAAGAATCACTCTTTTTCTTTTTTTTAATTAGTAATTTTGAAAAGGTTGAAATAATTCMCATGTAATAAGTACAGAAAAGGGTTCTGGTTTCCTGAGTGTCAAAATATGCTAATTATAAGTACAACTATTTATCATTTTATTACTTTCTATTTTAATGCATAGAAATACTCTTTAATTGTTAAAATTCAAAACCAAACAAATGTATTCATTCTACTTTTCATGAAACCAGTCCATTGTTCAAGAAAAAGAAATCATTCTTTACACAAAGATTTGCTCTGAAATTGCTGCCAAAGAAAATAACTTTGAGTTATTTGCTGCATAACTGCCACATGAGTACATTAAGGGTGTCTAGGGACAGCTTCATCTTGAGCATGTGACTTTTAAGAAAAATCTTTTAAGTTCAATACTTAGAAATTGCTGCCATATCCCTTTTCTTTCCCTTGACTTTTAAATTAATTGCAGTTGTCACATACAGGGAGAAATCCAATAATTTTATTCCTACATTTGCAGCCATTTGTCTAACAGTGAGGGTTTGTAATTACGTGCTTGTAATGAATTCAAGATATCATTGGGATTGTTAAGGAAATAGGTGTGTGTGCATTTATAAATAAACACATACATGTGCACACTTATTTCCTATTTTTGTATATACACCCGTATATACRCATATGTATGTGTATTTCATGGGTATTGTTTCTCACAAAATTGGCAAATTGGCACTGGATCGAAACCTGAATCATCATTAGGATTAGATGAGCAAGACTGCCTAACTGTGGAAGTCTGAAAGCTCAAGACCTGAGAGAGACATTTTTCACATAATCATATAAGTCTTTTCGATGGGAGGTCCATCTGCAAGGGGTTTGCTTCTTTCTAGCCAAGACTGGGTTCCAGAACTGTTAGGCCTCTCTTAAGAATTGTGGGGCTAGTCCAAAGTCTATCAATGTTCATTGGGAGACCTGACATTGTGTCCCAGATTGTGRCCCCCATAACAGAGTCATTTTGCAAAAAAAGTATTTGTTAATCCATCCACAGCAAATGTGCTTGAATCTGAAACAGCTGCAGAGTCCAGAAGTGGAAGTAAATTCAGGAGGTCACACTGTGAAGGGGCATCAGGAAGAAAAGTGGCAGTAGAGCTTTGTCCAAGCATCAATATTGCTTTCTTTCACAGCCACAAGCTGTGATCACAGCCACAAGCTCATATATTGAAGCTATATTGTCCAAAGAAACTTGGGATAGTTGAGCAAACTTGGGATAGTTTAGCAACCAATCTCCCTGGGCCCAGAGCTGTGAAACACAGAACTTTTTTAGATTTAAAGAAACATCACTGGAAAACTCAAAATAGAAGATTATTAATTTTCTTCTGATTATATTCATGTTTCAGGTTGCTGGCTTCAGAATACTCCCATCCTCTGCTATAATCCATGCTTTTGAATAAACAAATTAGGTATAAACAAAGGTGAGAGCTGAGTGGGAAAAAAAGGCATAGATACATCCAAGAAGCCTAAAATGCCTGTTAGCATTTACTTGGCCTGCCTGCTTATCTCACCCCAGTATGCGAAAAAATCCATTTTTGTCATACGATGGTACAGATTCTTGTCAGGGAACTTCTTGGATGATAATTCAGAGAATCTAAATATTCCATGTGAGAAACAGAAATATTCCATGTGAGAAACAAAAATCTGTCACAGTTTACTTAGATTGTTTGCCATTTGCTTTAGATTTTTCATGTTTCTCAGCCCTTGCCACACTCTCAGCAGTACCGATTTTTGGAATGGTCAAGTGAATCAATAAGCTCCCCAGCATGTGAAAAAGAAAGTATAACAGTTGCACAATTTGCTAGGAATTCAGAGAAAGGCAAAAATATACTTGAAAGATAGTGAAGGACTTTTAGATTGGAATTTCTTGAATTTCCCATGTGTCCTCAACCAACTATCACACACACACAAAAAAAAAAATGGTTAATAGGACCTAAGGCTCTCACTTGGACAATATTCTTTTAGGGTATGATGATTACAAGAAATATGGCTTTGTACATTAATAAATGTGCAGACAGAAAAGCAGATCTGCCAGTGCATTGCTCTGTTTTATGTTGTCCTTGAGATTTAACTGGATCAGTGCAAAATTACTAGYACAGAAGTAAATTTGACCCATGATTTTAACAGTACTTGCAAAGACAAAGCCTTTATTCCTTTGACTAGGGCATTAAAATCCTTCCTTAAATGTATTATTAGCATTAATGATCTTGTTCTCTTACTTTGAGAGTAGAATACACTTTCAGTGACTTTATATTCTATCCATAGCATGAAATTCAGGTAGAGTTTGACTATAGTCAAACACCTTCATTTTTAATAGGGTTCTTCAAAAAATATCACAGTAGTATTTGTGATATTCCATTAGTAAGAAAAATAGGTTATATTTTATGTCTGCACTATTTCTGATATTCATTGTTTCATACACAGGTGACTGTACCATTATTTTGCTAAGCTTCTAAGTTTTATCAGGTAAATATCATTTTAGAGCTTTAAATCCCCCAAATAATTTTTTTTTATTATTTAGTACTTTTGAGACATAGTAACATTTTTTATAGATTTATTACCTTTCAGATTGCAATGCCAAACACAAGGTTTATTGTCAAATAAAGTATCATTTTGTTTTTTTGATTGTCTGTGTTGGAAGAGTATTGCTTCTGTTCTATAATTGCTCATACCAAATTATTTAATTGGTTTTGCTGAGATGTAATTCTGGATAGTCTCCCATACAGAAAATACACACATAGTGAAATAGTGTAGTCAGACAATAAGAATGGCCTAGAATTATTTTGGAAGTTGTTTACAATAAAAAGAAAAAATACAATCAAACCAAAAATCCAAACAGAAGTCCTCAAACAATAAAGCAATTTGCTTCATTTTCCTAAGGTTCCTACCCAGGAAACACTTTCTTTAATATTATTTCCTGATGGATTTCAGATAATCTATACCCATAGGAAGTATTTAATGTTTAAATGACAGTAGGTTTCCTTGGGAAATGAGCTGTATAGAGTTTGGCTCATGCTGCTTCAGGGAGATTGGTAGCTGATCTCCCTGTAGTTTGTTGTTATCAGCTCACAGAGGCTTCACCATGAAGGCACAACCTCAGAGAAACCCATTGGCAACTATTTTTGGAAGATCTCCACATCACACTCTTTGGATATTTACTCCCCTTCTCTCTCAGGCTTGGGCCGTGCTGCTGCCTGAATCTTCTAGAGCAATTAAAGCTCTGGCTACTTCCCATTCCCACTTCTGTGCTCCAAGAGCAGGCTCTGCTACGCATTTCCATCAGTAAAAGCCAGCATGGCCCTGGATCCGTAGTTTTTGAAGTATCACACGCCTCCTAACATCAATAATACTTAGCACTGAAGAAGCAGAGCAACCTGGTTTCCACATACTCTAACAACTTCACATCACCTCTTGGAGGAGGCAAGCCCTCCTATACAGCATCATGGACTTCAGTCCAAAAAGGCTAGAGGTATGTCTAAGTTCTGCATTAAATCAAGTGCCAGACCTGGATTATTTGGCCCCTAACTTTCTGGCTTTACCATCCTGAAGGCAGACTCTGAGTTCCCATATCACTACTATTTTATTATTGCAGTATTGTATTATTTTATGCAAAAATCATGCTATGGGGAAGGGAAGCAGATCACAGCATCCTTCATGCAAGAGTTGCCTGTTCATAGCTTCAAGGTGCACAAGATGTGAAGGTGTGCCATGCTATCCTTTTATTTCAAAGAACAGCATTCTCTTACCACRGGGGTAAAAAAAAATATTCCAAATACCTGCAGAGATTCAGCAAACGCATGAAGGCGAGTGGATCAGAGCTGCTCCCTTTTCCAAAGGCAAGATTTCACTATGCACCTGGTTATCAGCATCTTCTGCTGAGGGGCAGTAGCTCTCAGCTTTCATCACTCACTGATCTCAGCAAGAGTGAGAAGCCTCTTTCCACACAAAACCCAACTGTTTCAAATCCCTGTGAAGGGCAGGAGAGGCTCTTGACCCAGAGATCAGGTCTGTGTCCTGCACACACATGTTGTCTTCTCCACTTGGACCCTGAACTTGRACTTGGATTTGCTTGGAATAGTATTTCAAGGAGGCCCAGATGTTCCACGACCTTTACCACCACTACTGCCCCACCGCTGAAAATCAAGCTGACTGAAGCTTAAATTCTGACACAGAACTCCTTCCTCCTGAAAGGAATTAGTCACTTTTATCCTTATATACTGTTGCATTCATTTAGTTAGAAAGGCTGAAGGCTACAACTTGCATACGACAGATAAAGTGGCAAATTAGCCTCCTGCAAGCACACCCCAGCCTGTGTCATTCAGAAGACCACAAAGGCCCTGTCATTTAGTAGTATTCTCCCACATTTTTACTTACTTTTCAAATTCTGAGTCCTTCATCCTAAAGCAGGTGATCTCAAGGATATGCCTTAGCGTGTTCCTCTTTATCTGTCCTGAACGGTTGTAGTCAAAGAGTCTGCAGCTCCTGATAATGCTTTTCACATTCTTCGCAATCTACAAATTACAGGGGATTTCAATAAACAGGAAACTAATACTGGCATAACTGACACACGTGCAAGCACCGGAAAGCAAGGCTAATATATAATACACCATGCCATTTTATAYCTACTTCAGTAATACAGAATAACCTTTCCTGGCATGGTAGGAAATGTAACAACAACACTCCATGAGAAATGAGTATTTTGCATTTATTGAATGTCTACGGCAATTTTCTTTTCGAAGGGCACTGGTAAACTTGAAGACTCTTTAAGGCAAAGCAATGAATTTCAGATACAATTCAAATATTAAACAGAAGATAAGGAATGTTCTTCCTTCAGTGACTGAAACCTAGGTATTTTCTAGAAACCAAGTATCAAAGATCATGGCAGGTCCACATTTTGTAAGTGTCTTTCAGAATATCCGTTAATCACTTGTTAATTATCTAAATATGAATCATTCTTTTTTTCCCTTCATTAAAAATAAATAACAAAACAAAGCAGACGAGCAGGTTGATCAAGAAAGTATACAGGGGACAAATTAATGAATTGCATTCATTTGAAATTTCATTCATTTCAGCAATTGTAACTCCCTTCTCCAAGTCTGCTAAAAACCTCCCAAACTGGACCTTAAAGCAAATTTCTGGAGAGAAAACTGTCAAAAAATGTAATTTTGAGGAGTTACACGATTATTCTGTCTGTGCTGAATTTGCTCAGAAAGTCTTGTTTTAAAATATCACTCCTTGCCATTGTCGCTGCTGCAAATACAACCTGGGAATTGAAAGTCAGGCTGTGCTCTTCCTGGCTCACCTAACAGCCGCAGCAATAAGGCCAGTGCCACTGCTGCTTGCTCACTCATTGCAAAGCCACGATTAACTCCAGCTCGGCTGTGTGTGCTCTGCTGTGCTGCCAGGAGTAACGAGGAGGGAGAGTCAGGGGAGGAAACCCTGGTCCCTGGGAAGTCAGGACTTCAATGGAGTTAACATTCCGTGTCTGATTTGTTTTCAACAAAAGGTTGGAGATGGCAAGCCTGGTAGTCCCCCTGCCAAATTTGAATCCAAAAGGATTAAATTTCACCAAATCAGACTAGAATTTCTCTCTTGCCATGAGTGGCAAAATGTTTCCACTGTAACTCCATGCTTTCCACAAAGACAGAAATGCAGCACTGATTAATTTCTCCCATCTCCTGGGTAAAGCACAGGTTTGGCTTCTGGGATAYCTGGCACTTGCATTTTTCTGTCAGTTGGGCATGACCAGTCGTCCTTACAGGTTAGATAACCCAAGCACCAACCAGATTATGCTATCAAATCTTTCAGCACAGGCATTAGAAACGACATTCCTGGTTGTTCCCCCAAGTGGCAAGGATATCCCAGCACTTTYAGCAACTGCAGGGCCTCGCCATAGTGTCTTTGGCATAATGTCCTCTGTTGTCACYGATACGTGCCAGCTGTGCCTGTGTTTCAACAGCATTTATGCATGTGAAGTACTCGGAGATCCCTCAGAAAGCAGGGAGGGGATGAATATTTAAAAGTATTTTCTTATACTTTAGAAGCACAAAGGGTATGCATTGAAAACACGTCCTCTGCAGATACTGTTAACAGCAGGGACCTCCAAACAGACTCTTATACAGACTGCAGTTCATTGAAAAAGATTTCCTGCCACGTATTGCTGAAGCTCCTATCGCTAGCAGTGCAGTTGCCAACTGCTATAGACCGAGGCACTTCCCTCGACACCTGCAGGGCTCCTAGATCTCGGCTTGCAGGGGCCTGCCTGGGTCCCGGGCTGCCTCCCTCTCCCAGCCTCCACCAAGCCTGCCCGCTGGCTGCAGATACTTGGCAGGAGTGGAGATCTGGAAAGGGGTTTCATGCCTTCCTGTTGACCCCAAATCGGGAATCCTGTCTAAAACAACATCTCTTTACTGCATTGACTGAGTTGGAGAGACAACATCCCTCGCAGGATGGCTTMGAGGAACGGTGCTTCCCACGGAGGGCGGCAGGCGGGATGCGGCGGCAGCGGCTGCCCTCCGGACCCAGCTGGGCTGAGCCAGTTTGCCCAGCGCGGCGGGGGAGAAGGCAGCAGACCCAGCCGTCCTTCTGCACAGAAAAAAAAAAGGGGGGGGAAAAAGACAAAAAGCTGCTTGCCCTCGACACGAGGATCAGAAGCAAAATCTGTGTGTTCARACTCGCAGTGGCGGCCCCTCATTAGCGTTGTTCTGTCACCCTAATAAACAACATATGGGAAATCTGTAGATCACGGCTTGCCAAAAAAAAAAAAAAGCAAAAATAGTAAAATTTCCATGGTGGCAATGATATATTCTACAGAAATATGCTATAAGGAGTACGTTGGGGACACAGTGGTAAAACATGCTGCCTTCCTCCTTTTTTTTTTTTTTTGTGAAAATATGTCAAAAATGCATAAATTAGCAATGAAAAACCCATGTGGTAGCACCTGGCACCCTCTCTGGCACGAGGACTGCAAGTCAGATGTGCTTTCAAGGCAAAGTCAGCAATACGGGAGACCTTGGAAGCTCACTGCCCCAGTTGCTGTTCCTGAAGGGCCTGGGTCTTGGATCCCACATCATGGGGGCTCCAAAATACCCTTCTGGAGAGAAGAGGAGCTGACAAATGGCTGAGGGAGGGAAAGGAAGACCCTCCATCGCTTTGCTTCCACAGTCGATCTCAGCACACCGTGGCAGCTGCTTTTGGGYTGCCTTTCATTCCTTCCCTTCAGCTAGCACCCCCATGCAGAGATGTCCCCTTTGACTTCTTGTCCTTCGCAGCTCTCTACTGTAAGAGGCATCAGTGGAAGAAGAGGGTGGGGGAAGCTTTTAGAGTCGGGAGAGATGCCTTATCACCACATGGGAGACTTCAGTCTGCAAAGATCTATCCGTCGAGCATATTGCACCCAGAGAGATATATGCATCATATTTTGTTTGTTTTGTTAAGARAAATAAAGAAAGAAAATACATGCAAGAAAAATATTCTTCTCTTGCTATAAACACATCAATGCTCATTTTCTCTATATTCTACTTTGGGCCATTTTGTGTAAAATCTTTAATTAAAGTTTTTCTTTGAAATTGTCATCATCAAAGCAGAAGAAAGAAAGTAAAAAAACGGAAGGACACAGCTGTGCATGTATGAAGTGCTATTCAGTACCAAATGAATTGGAACAAAATAAGTATCGTGACTGTTATGCTCTTAGTTTTGGCTCTGTATTCTCAGTAGCACAGTCTAACTTGTCACTTTATATTGATTCCATCTGTTTACACTCTGCAGAGTATTGGCTTCCTACGGTGAACATTTCCTATTTACCAGCTGGTAAAGATAGGCCCAAACCAGATAGAAAAGAATTAGACTATTTTCAGATCCTCATAAATGTAAAATCAAAATTAATGGGGGAGGGGAGATGAAAGTAAAGGGAATGAGGAAGATATACAGGGCCTGAGGCTTGTTCATACCGTTAGCCCTTTATACKCCATTAACAATTTTTCAAGACCTTGATCTTTGTGTACTGAGTATACAAAATAAATTTATTTCCAGCCCATTTTTACATCTCACACAATTAGACTGTTTAGGAAAGAGTTTTAGGCTTAGTACTTCAGTAATCTTTAAAGAAAAACCATCRGGATCTCACACAAGCAGTGAAAGGCTTCCACCTAAAATGGATGGACACACAGAATAGAGCCATCTCTGTGCTCTGACAAATGGAGTTTTCATTCTTTCCTTTTCCGACTTGCTGCTAGACCCCTTTCTGAAGGAGACAGCATCATTTGGAGAGACCAACTCACCTTAGAAGAGTCTTCAGGAGTAACATCTTATTGCTTGTAATTAGAAATGACGGAGAGACTCCCCTAGTCAAAGCTAAATTAAGAGCTTTGCCCTGGTATTTGAAATATTCAAAATCTTCTCCTAGCTTATCTTTGCTTTACTAAGCAGGTGAGGTTAACTACAAGGCAGCAAGGCGTACTTCCCAGAGTACAACTGATAACGTTAGTGTCATAAAAGCACTCAAGGACCTGTTTAGATCATTTGATTAAGTGAAGTGTCAGTCTGGCTACGGTGTATAAGTGCAACGGAGTGATGAGGAAACCAAGGCTGTCTGTCAGGTTTTGGCTTCCTTATGACTTTTCCCTGACTTGTTCTTTTCTTGATCTTGCCCATTACAGCAGTTGTAATGCCTAAATAGAGGTGTACATGCCCAGGTTTACAGGGTAGGAGGTCTGAATATGGCTTCCTTTTTTATTCCCTGTAAGGAGAAAGCTGGTATTCTTTATTTTACTGAGGGCATTAGAAAGTTTGCTCCCATTCTCTCTTTCACTCTTTTTTTTTAATGTGCATACGCAAATTCACAACTCAATCAAAGTAACCCATATAAATGTATCCTTAACCGATGATGGGCATTCAAATGGAAGCAGAATATGGTTTGGCTTAGCACTAACTGTGATATTTTACAGATGAATATTTATTTCAAAGATTGTATGAGTTCTTAAGTGTATCTGAACAATTATTTGCATACATGAGACACTTACATATCTTGAAATACTTATTCAGCTCGATCTTTGCTGAAATACTTACGTAGTAGTAACCTCACCTCAAGTTTATATTTTCTGTTAATATACTAAAAACACATATAACAGCTCTGTTTCACAATGTCCTTAAAAAACATGCTACAGAACCTCGTAAACCAAATGTGCCAGAACTCTAATTAGGACTTTGGAGGATATTTTCAATTCATAAATTCTATAATAAGAAGCTATTTCGGCTGTTTCTTTTGTGACAGGAAATGCTTAACATGAAAACGTAAATGTTACTCTTCATTCAGCTGCATATAGCCAAACAAAAAAAAGCTATGACATTAATAATAACTGTACCCAGCWATGATTGATAGGCTTTTCTACAGCGAGGAAAGATTGTCTTGGATACAATCTGTCCTAACAGCCTTGCGATATGTTAATATTTTATTCAGTCTAGAGTGAGGATATATTCACATGTCCCTCTCAGTGTAAGGGAAGCAAATGGGTTGCAAACACTACTGCAGCCCTGAGGTGCAATAACAGCTGTGAAATCAGAAAGATTTTATTTCACCCTCCCAAATTACAGGCCAAGTGCATGCCAAGCACAGCAGGAGGTTAGATTTTCCTTGGAATTTACATCAGGTTATGTTTAATGTATGTTTTTCCTCTATGAAGAGTCTTGGGGTAGAAGCAGCAGACTTGCACAATGACACGGAATACTTTCCTGAGGTTCTGGGTCCTTAAAAATAGTAATTATTATCAGCCACCATATCTGGCATCAGGTCAACTTAATTTCAGTGGCTTGAGCAATCATGTGACTAAATACCTTTAAATAAAACAATAGAAATTACTAAAATACCATTCCAGTGATACGATAAAATGTTTTAAACCAGTACTGCAAACAGGTAAACAATTATAGAAATTGTACCACCATGGAGAATCCGGTTTCTTAAATAAATCAAGTCTTGTTATTTGAGCCAGAAGCATTTAGTAATTGAGAAATAAAATCACAGTGGGACTAAGGCAGYCCTCTGCCAGAGATTTGCTTGACTGCTCGAAAGAGAAGAGTGCTTAGGTTTCTGATAAACTAAAAAGGGATTCTCGGTGCAACTTAGAGCAGACGCTCCCAAAACGCTACTTCGAATCTTAGTATCATTAAGACAAAAAACAACAAAACAAAACAAAATATTAAGATCCAAATATACCACTTTGAGCAGATCTGTATTATGGAACCATGTGGCAGCATCCTTCTAAACACATTACTAAATTAATATCAGTATATCAGCAGTACCAAGTATTTATTCTTCTATCTGAAGTGAATTACTATACCAGCATTTACTTGGGATTACAACTCTGGTCCACATACTTTCTCTTTGAGGAGGGACTCCAGTTGACTTAATGTCATTGTTTGGATACTTCGGCCATTATTCAACCTAAAAAAAAAAAAAAAAAACAGTATTATAAAAAGAAATTAGAAGTGCATATAACAGATATGCATTATCAAGTATTGTTGAATACTACTGAACTCACATCAGTGGGAGCTTTGCCTTAGCATTCAAAGAACTACAAGTGGCTCGATCCTGCTTTCACTCTCGCTGTTGTTCACAGCTCTCCACCATTCCTGGAGAAAAAGGCCACAAATCTAGATCCCCTGGCAGAAGAGAGAAGTGGCAACTGCTCCTCTACCACAAGCATGATGGCTGCTGGAGCAGAATATTTGTGTTCAAGTAGCTTTTTGGGAAGCTACAGTGGACGTGAAGGTCTTTTAGCAGCTGGATTTGGGTCTTGGGATRATAGAGGATTTGGGAACCTTGAAGACAGAAAGGTTACATTGCCAGTCCTCCCTTTCCCTGCTCTCACCAAGTGTTCCTTCAGGTAGCAATGAGCACCTCCCTCCCTCAGCTCAAATCTGAGATCCACCCATTATCACTAAACTAAACTAAACTAAAAATATTAACTTGTCATTGTTTCCTTTCGCCATCGTCAAGCAAGAGAACAGGTCGTTTTCATAGTCAGCTCTTAGCAAAGTTTATATTCACAAGTGGATTTTCCAGATGCTGAATCCTATTCATTAGTTTCAGCCTCAAGTACTTGCTCCTGGAACTTTATTCCTATCTGCATTTGTGTGCTAAAGACCTAAAAGCCAAGCTTGGCTATAATTTAAGCCTCTGAATTCAGGGGAATTGCCTGGGTTTTAAACCATGAGAGAAAGCAGCTCTAATAATCTCTCTCAGCCAAACTCCAGAAAAACAGCACCTATGCTGTCCTCTAGTGGTAAATACATACATAAACACCTATATTCACAGCTGCAGCAATCTGACCCCTGTTTGCTTCCCTACATTACACACATTTTCAGTGATATTCTCTAACAAGCTAGCTAAAAGACAATATTTTCYAAATATGACCTTACCTTCTAAGATTTTTAGTGAGTTTAAATGTAAATCGAGGATAAATCTTATATATTCCTCTTGAAAATTAGAGGAAAATAACTCCAAGCATATAATAAGCTTTACCATTTTTATTATTTTCCATGTAATTAAGAAAAGATTAACCTTTTACTTCATGGAAGATCCCTCATGTGTTATTTAATTAGTCTTCACTAATTAATTAGAATTTTAAAGCTCCTCTGTCTCTCAGAGAGAGTGGCTTAGGTCCCTCTCTTCTGCTTTTCTTTTGCCGCTCCTCTTCCTCCTCCCGCCTCCTTTCAAAGTCCTAATCCCATTTTTGTATCCTCAGTATTACTCTCTTTCATTCACTCTTTGTCTGAGAGTTTCCTTAGCTCTGCACTTGCTGGGAACAAAGTAGGGCTGGAATTTACATATTTTCGGAGGCAACCCTTTCTTGAAGCGCTGATCATACCAGCCCACAGTACCAACTGAAGGAAAAGGAATTTCCCTGCAGATCCCCCCTGCAGAATTCCTGCCTTTACATCGCACTGGGGGCAGGGAGGAAAAGCACAGAGGTTCAAAACCTTCAGTGCACTCCTGAGAAAGCCACTGGGAGAGTATAGAAATCTTTATTTTGTTTATTTTTATGCAGAGTATAGCTCTACTTTCCATTTTACTTTTCAAATAGCATTCCTCATTGATGGTGAAATCTCAGTTCACACAAATTTGGTGTCTCTTCAATTGAAAAGTTACTCGCATTGCAAGTGAAAAAGGTACACAAGGTTATTTACTTCTAAAGGAATGAATCCTGTAACACTGCAGCTTTCCCATTCCTGGGACCTTTATCTTGGCTTCTATACTTTACTTAAAGACAGGGAAAGCTGAGTAATACTTCCTTGAATCCCTATTAAATGCATTTGTTTATAATTTCTTTCRTACAGTATTTCCATTAGCAGATCAATGGCTTGGCAGACCATGTTCTTCCCTTTGGCAATCAAGGAACATTCCTATGGCAACTACACCAATTACGCATTCAGAAAATAAAAGCAGTTTTAGAAAAAGAATTTATTGTATCTCTGCCTCACTAGAAGCTCACACGAGATGGTAGATTCTGCTTTGAAAGCTAGACAACTGGCAAGTGATGCATGGCCATAATTTAGGAGCAATTTGAACACATAATTTAGAACACTTACTCTTTAAGCATGCTGGTACTTTTGGCAACTTTGGTGAACTTTGATAAGAAGTCAAGATAAGGCACAGTAACTTTGCCGATATTTGGGATCTGTATTTCAATGAACAAGGATAAGAACATGGATAAGAACACAGATAAGAACATTGATAAGATCTGCAGTGATAACAGTGACAAATATTTTTAAATAGTTCCATTTGCATTACTAAGCTTTTTTCCATAAATTAACAGAATATATCTTATAACCTTGCTTTTGTTCTGTGTATCATATATTATTTCTTATCAGTGGCTTGTCCAGAATTAAGCAGAGCATGAATTTAATATCTGGYAAATCCTCCAACGAGAAGTTAAAGCCTACAAGTCTTTCCATCCTGTAAAATAAATGATTTATTATTTGTTTAGCTCTGTGATCTTTTACATCAGTTTATGAAAGTACAGTCATTCTTATCAATGTCTGCAACACTCTTCTTCACTCTTCTTCGAAAAGAATAGTTCAAAATGAATATTTAATGTGTTTTAAGCATATATAAGTCCCCATACTGATGATTTAGTAGGAATTTAGCAACAATCTTAGCTAAAATGGAGTTAGTCTACTTCAGATCMATTAGTTCAAAATGGAGCTACAATAGACCAGCTCACCCACATCAAACAAACAAGAGCCAACAATGAAACTTATTTTCTAGTAAGAAAGAAATGTTATACTCTTTCCTAAAAGCATAARCATTAACATCCCTTCCACTTCCCAGACAGAAATTTAACTGCACAGTAACTCTGATGCAGATTGTGCTTCTGAATCCTCCTCTGTTTTGGATAAGTATGAGTCACAATATCCTGTGATCACCCATGGTTTCTTAAGTCCACTCTGATCATCGTTTATAAAGTGGCAAATATCAGAAGTTAGCTGAGAAACGTCCAGTACAAATGAAAAGTACCTAGTCTCTGATGCACAGTTTACAACATAATCTACCCACATTTGTAACGCTGAATGTATATTAAATTTAGTTTTGTTTTCTTTTGCTTTTTAATGACAGAATCTATGAGTAAATTGCAACTCTCTCAACTAGGGAGGCAAGCCACACCAGTGGCCAAAGCCAGTTCACTTTTCTTTTGCAAGTTTTCTGCTGCTTTTGACTGAACKACTCACATTAGGATGTGATCGTGTTTAGGATCTCTTTCATAATACTGGTTTGGAACCTGCTCCCATTGAAACCTGTGGAAATTCTGTTCTTGACATCAACAAGAACAGTCTTTAAATGATTATAAACAGCAATGACATAGCATACCTCTGCCAGCATAGCATCAAATTCGGCTTGTGTTAGAGGGAAAAGAAAAGTTTCAATCACTCTCCTGAATTCACCCTTTGTGACTGTCAGGGTCTGACCAACATCAAGAGCCTGAAACGCTTTTTTCAGTTCATCTTCTTTCTCAGCTGTCTTTTGAAGTAAGATCTGCTCAATGTTCCGCAAGAATAATGTGGGATCTGGGACAGAGCTCACAGATGCAGCTGTAAAATATATTAGGCATCATCACACACTCCTAAGGCTGGCAAAGTCACATATTTTTCTGAGAATTCAGTATAAGCCAATTCATGTCTGGTGATATACAAGTAAATTGGTTATTATTAGTCCACTGATGTGAAAAAAAAAATGAAAATAACTGTATTTTATTAAGACATCCACACTTTTTTATATATACTATAGCAAAAAAAGGAACTTGGAATATGCAGTTATGCACTAAATGTTAAAACAACAGTTAAAGTCACAGTACATAGGCACATTCTTTGATGATAGCTTTCCCATTTCAGACTACAGACAAGATCTCCTTGCTTTGTGAAAGTTCGAGACTTTATTCRGTTATTGAGCCTTGGGTAGAGAGGTCATCTCAGAAGAGGGAGCAAAACTACTTGGCAGGGCACTGTAGCTTGCAGGGGTGCCTTCTGTTACTTCAGACASCTCTTGCTCTCCTTAGACCTGAATAAGAATTAAACAAGGACCAAAGGACTTGGCCTGATGTTTCTTTTGGATTAATAATAAGYCAAGTTCAGCCACAGCTATGAGCATTTAATGTAATTACCTACCAYGCTGGGGGTTTTACAAAGAAATCTGAACAGAAAGCCCACTATGTTTTTTCTGTACTTTAGTCTAGGATCTGCTCTCAAAAAAACGCGGTTGCTGCTCTCAAACAAACTGCAGTTCCCTTCAGAGGAAGCTCTGTTTACAAGGAGGAAGGTTGCAAAATGTGACTTTTTGTTATTTACAGCTTTTTTTCAGTTTTACAGGAGCTAACTTTTTTTGTTGTCCTCATCTCTTTCTTAGAATAAAAGATAAAATCATGGCTGCCTTGTACGTTTCATGTTAACTTCGAGCCATTCTGACAAAATTCAAATTCACAGCTGGATATAGCCTCGGTGAAATCAATAGAGCTGTCACAGCTTGCTCCTACAATGAATCTGACCCTAAATCTAAAACTGCATGGCAAAGAGAGAAGGAAAATTGACATGAACTGCAATGGAGGAAGCCTTGCGTGATAATAATTTAAAATCACTTGCAAGAGAAATGTCCACTTTGGGACTAGCAGCAAATTCATACCTGATTGGAACAAGCTATAACTCTTACTGTTCCAAAAAATAAAATAGCTTTCCRTGGTAACTACATAGCCATTTCAAATGATTTCCTAAAGGATAAGATTTATATCAAGTCTGGTGATGTCTAATAATTGGCAACAGTTATCTTGTAAGGATTTAAGAATATGAGTGAGGCTGAGCTCCAAAGTATGAATTTCTCTCATGATCCAATGGACTTTAGAGGCCCTATTTCCCTACCAGAATGGAAACAGGAAGAACAGGAGTCAAGTAAGAAGGGCCGTGGCTCCCTCTCTCCATAAATAGAACAAGATTGATTGTGTTGGTGTCTAAAGGACTCAGGGAACGCGATGTCCCTTCTCGCAATAGACTTGATAAAACGTGCCCCAGACAACCCTAAATGGCACACGGGATCCTTGGCCATGGCAGCTCGCTGTGCTGAAGGGCACCACTGACCTCAGCAGTCAAGAGGACAGAAAGGACTGAGGGGGCAATGCTACCTGCAAGGCGGGCAGAGCTGGGCCTCTCAGCAATTAAAGGGTATTGATTTAAAGGGTACTTGGATTTAAAGTCCCAAGGGTAAGAAAATCCAGACCTCAGTACAAACCCGCACCTGATTTGGCTGAATTCTGCCTGCTGCCACATGCAGATGCTCTGCTTTGTGTAGGTTGGGGTCGTGGGGTAAACACGATTCCTTGAGAGAAGGGATGTAAGGCACTTAAGTCTTCTGCATTTGCCTCTCTAGCCATGGTCTTTCCTGGATTTAAAACAGAAATATGAGAATGCATTAAAATACAAGATACAAAAAGATGCAGTGTGGCTGGCAACAGTGACAAGAGACAAAAACTGATTTATTGACAAGAAGTCTAATTTGCTGATAAAAAAAAATGACTGCGACAGTATACAGCACAACCACAGAAATTTTTGATTCTTTTCATCTAGTCACCACTAGTCAGCTAGAACTATCACCTATGATGGTGCTTCAAATACACAGTTTACAGTAAAAGACATTAATAGACSAACTCATTTAGCAAATAATAATTATTTGTCAAAGGGGTTTTGGTCATTATCTTGAAGATCATGGACATTAAAAAAAATGCAACCTTCTAGGTAAAAAAAAAATGTTATTTTAACTAAAGAGTTAATTTGCTTAGATGTTTATTACAGACTTTTGCAGGAGAAAAATGCATGCAGCAGACACCAGCTCATTACACTAATTACTCTGTTTTATGAAGAGCTAATAGTAAATTTCCTCACCAGGAAATCCGAGGCGAGCTACACAGCACGGATAAGCAGAAAGGCTAGCAAGGAAAATACCTGGAGGGAGTCAGTGCTGCGTGGCATATGCCATGGGTTGCCAGGTATGGCTCGGCGGGGACCTGCCAGGGAATGCCGAGTGGGCTGCACAATTTGAACAGCACTTTGGGCTACAAACACCCACGTTAGGTGAACTCTTGCCAGAAATCCAGAGAATTGGCCCTGCTCTGTGACTCTGAGGTCTGGGCGCTGCTGCTCTGTGGCGTATGCAGATATGCTGAGGCATTTGTCTTTGCCCCTTTGGAACGTGTTTTAAGGGCTAACGGACTCAGAGGACGTAGGTGATGGTGCTGTCACCCAATCTCTTACACACTATTTTATGGTGATTAGTCATACAAATACTTTCAAAAACTTTCAGTCTTATGTACTCCATCACAGGGTAGTTCTATGAAGTTATGTAGTTAACCCAATCTGACTCTTCAAAGGAAATATTTTTTAAAGTCTGAGGCTGCATTTTCCTTTTAATAAATATAATTTGAAACCATAAATTTGGCTCCCCCTCASAATGAAAGACAGAGGGTAGAATATTTCTTTCTCTCTAATGCATGCTAATGAATTGCATCTTGAAATGTCTTGAGCCTGAAGCTCAGTGTTTTGGACTGCTACGAGGAAGAAAACCACAGACCCATTCTTTCTTTCAACTTGAGTAGTCTTACATGTTAYGAAAACAAAATTACATAGATCTGGGTAGACCCCTCCATACACACACACACACCATTTACCAAGCAGCAAATTAGGTCGTAGTGGGTACTGTCCTTGGGCACTGCAAATTCATTCTCTGCACCATTAAACTGTTCAAAGAGTCTCTGCTCAGGTTCTGACCATAGCTTGGGACCAGCAGCTTCCTGGGCACATTGCAAGAGTTAAGTTGGCCAGGAACCATTCCCAGTGGGCAGCTTGCATGCAGCCAGCCTTCTAAAAAGGTTTCAGAAAAGAATGAGAAACTTTATCAGTCTGGATATGGACTTTTCCATGCCAGTTCTTCTCCATGCCAAGAAACAGTCCCAAGCACACTTAATTTCCTAGCACAGCCCATCTACAGCAGTGAGCCCTGGCAAAAGTCCTAATTCTGTAGCCATCTATTAAAAGAAACTAACCTCCAAGCATTCTTTCAGATAGAAAATAACTGTTTCCTGCTCATCTGATACATGAACAAGCGTCATAGTTACTACAGCCACTAGTCTGATACCTTTGCAATAGCACCGTGGAAGCTTGGCTGCCTGGGAACTGTAAGTAAGGAGGATCTGCTTCCCACACACCAAGAGAGCTGGATGGAGCCGTAAATGGCTCCTGTAGAAGCCAACACAACCAGTAGTTTTGGTTTTATTTTGTTTGTTTTTTGTTTGTTTGTTTTGGTTTATGGATATTTTCTGATGGAAGAACACATCCATGACTAGTCAATGTAGCTCTTCTGAAAACAGACTTGCTTTTCTTTGTTCTCTTTCACAGACTCTTCAGAAACAGCCCACCAACCTTACAGTTTTAAGGAGCTCATGGACTGGAAGTCAAAGATTACTACACAGAACGATTTTTTATCAGATACTGCGTTTGGTTCTTTYCTCACTTAGACCTCCTAAGACCACCAGCAAAACATCAGTGCACCGATCAGGAATAAGGCAGCTGCAATAAATGGTTCTTGATTTATATGTTGCATGGAATTTACACCGATGTATACAAATATAAGTAGTGGGTCTGATTTATGACCTCTTAAGCACACTCCTTTTAGTCTTAGGGCAAGATCCACAGCTACCATAAATCAGGATAGCTCTGCTTGCTTTCCTATCTTCAAGAGAATTACAGCATTTACAGCCACTGAGGGATTTGGCCCTCGTTTCTTCTCATTTCAATAATTTACCTGATGGAAGCTCCCCAAGTGTCTATGCACAAAGTTCCTGCATCTGAGCCATGTTTGGCTCTAGTTACAAGATGGATGGGTCTTACAGATGGATACAAATAGATTTCTGACCATTTTCAATAGAAATGTAGAAGACACTTTCTTGATAATAATGAAGAAACATTACTTCAGATAAAATCTTTCAAGCAAACCATAGGGCCATGTCCTTTTCTGTTTTTGTGAGGATAAATGAAGCTTGGCTTCCTTGCTTTTTCTRTTTATTTCTGTAAGCTTCAGTATTTTGCGTTGTGCTTGGCAAGGCAGATAACAAGTCTCACCTTGATTTTCTCTTAACTCCTTTGATTTTTAAGCCTATCATACTCTGTTTTATATTACTTAAAAGAAAAGGATARGTGCAACCTTACCTTTTATTGTTTCTTTCTCCTTGAAAGAGTGCCTAGCCTCTGTAATTTCAAAAGAACAGTTAAGGTTATGCATTCTCCCAAGCACACAAAGAGCAAACAATTCCCAGTTTAAGCACAATTTGTTGTTCTCRCCACAAGGTTACATCAAATGCCTGGCAGCAGTGCCACAGGAGCATGCAGGCTGCTGGGTGATGTGGAATGGGCAACCCAGGGGCTTTTAGAGCAAGTCACTCTGGCATCCGAGCGGCAGGGGAAGCAGCACTTCCTTGGGCAGCCACTGTTACCTCCCACCCAGTAACTGTTCTTGGAGTTTCCTGTCTCTGGGCTACATGGTATCTTTTGCCTATGCTTTTTACCCATAAGAGAGCCAAATGCAAATCATAGGCTCTCCTTTGCATAGAGTCATCATATTGCTTTCTTTTTCCACTTCATTAATGACAGTTATCAATTCTCTAATTACAATATTCTCAGTCTGAAGTTGCTGCTCCTCCCTACCCATGTGGGTTCAGGCCACACGAGGGCAGAGCTTTTCCGGCTCTGGCACATGTATCACTTGTGTGGACAATTCTCCTGCAGTTTTCCACCCCTTGGAAGTGCAGCTGCTTTCCAAGGGGCTTAAGCTCCTCACTGAGCCGGCGTACATCAGCGAGGGCAGTGACGCTGGACGCCTACCTCGCACGGATCACGCGGAGGACCTGGCAGTTTCCAGGTTTGCCGACAGCGGGGAGAGCCTTGGTGACGGTTCTGGAGCAAACATGGATGCTTCCTCTCCAATTCCCTTTCAGTTCCGATGGGGAAAGATGAGTAGTTTGCTTGGTTAGAGAACTGTATTTATTTTGAGATCAGGGAATATATAATAATGTAGTGTTTGACGGGAAGACGTTCCCAAAAGGTTAAATCCAACCTGCAAGAGGAAAAGGGAAGGGAAGTTCAGGTCACTCAGAAGCAGACAGGAGTTCTCCTACACTATACTGCACTTCACCTCTGGGAGCAACAGCCATCCCAGCTCCCTGGACTCGCTCTAAGATATCTAGGGACACGGTCACAGAGTGTTGGCCCCTCTGCCTGGGCAAATTCTCCCTTCCTGGCTCCCGAGAGTGGAAAGGGCCCTTTGGGCCAAGGGGCCTGTGGAACACCTCACACCTAAGAGCTCCTCCGGGCAGCCAGGCCACGGAGCCTTCCCGGGCAGCGGGACAATTCACTTCTTTACTCTGTGTCCTGCACAGCCCGGGGGCCGCCCGGCCGCCCTCTCCCCGCTCACAGGCCCCGGGGCCGCCCGGCCGCCCAACGCCCGCCCCAAACGGGCCCCGCCGTGCCCCCCCTCCCGCCGCAGCGCCGTTACCTGCCCGGGGGGGGGGG